AGCAGGACTTGTTGCGATAGGACAAGGAGTAATGGCTTTAAACTCAGGGAGGGTAGATTTAGACTAGAGAAAAGGAAGAAATTTTTTACTGTGTGGGTGGTGAAACACTGGAACAGATTGCCCAGAGAGGCAGTGGAGGCCCCATCCCTGGAAACGTTCAAGGTCAGGTTGGATGGGGCTCTGAGCAACCTGGTCTAGTTGAAGATATTCCTGCTCACTGCAGGGGGGTTGGGCTAGATGACCTCTAAAGGTCCCTTCCAACCCAAAGCATTCTGTGATTCTAATTTTAAGAAAAGTTTCTGAATATTTTATTCAGAAATTTAAATAACTGTCTTATTTGGAAGTGTCCTAAAAGCCTTCCAATTATAGTCATAACTTTGACTATAACTGTGAAGCAGAAGGATCTTAATTTTGCTTAAAATAAAAAGCTTTGTATAAGCTATACCAAGTTCCTACTGAAATGGCAGTAATATTCTTTTAAGCTAAAATATGCCTATAATCCAGCTTTAATAAAAATGTGACCCCTTAAAGATATTTCAGATGTGAAATTAATTTGTTAATTCCCCACCTTAAATGTCTGTAATTCAGCTTTTAACATAACTAGTGCAAGACAGTGTAGGTTAAGATATTTTTCAAATTAATCTTTCTATATGAAAGAAAACATGATCATTTTCAAAGAAAATTGAGCAATTATTTCTTAAATACAAATACTTTATTTAAAAGGCTGTGTTTATTTATGGATTAACATTCCCTTCTGTAGTAAAATTTATCTGAGAAATGGAACAGAGACCATATGTTATGCATTGAGACAGTAATCGTCCTATTTTACCTTATACATTGGTATGTTTTTGATAAACATTACCATTCTCTTACATGGGAAAAAATGTTTCAAGTGAAGGATCACCCATCTTTCTAAAATCTTTCTTTTTAGGTCATTTTAAAAATCTAGTAAAATTAGTGTTGTGATTCTCCTTAAAAGAAATGCTATCGGTAACAAAAAAGATAAAGGTAATCCTTTATTCACAGTATATAAAATTAGGTATTTGTTTAGATTTTGTTTTGGAAAAGAACTTCTTAGACCCACAAACATGCAATCTTCATGGACTTGACAAAATGTAGAGATCATTCAGACAGCTCACAATCACTTTTAGCAATGGTAACATAGAAACAAAATACTTCCTCACACTTTTTCATTTTAAGAAAAAATAATCCTTGTGAATAGTCTGGATATGAAGAAAAAGTTTGTAAAATTTTCAGTGATAGGACACAGTCAATGGAAAAAGATTTTGGAATACAGGGGAAGAACCTCTTGTTTCAGCAGTCGATTTTACTCTGGCTAATAAGAAGAACCAAGACACAGCCTGAATAAGAAAGACAGTTTTTGTGAAAGTGCCCAGGAAATAATAGAGTTTATGATTCTTAAAAAATGAAAGAATATGGCAACACAATTCTGATAAAGTCAACGGTTTTCAGGAATCTAAAGTTCATCAACCTTGAGAAACTGGTAGATGAATGTCCTTAGGAATGAATTCTGAAAGTAATTTATAAAAGAGATTATATTAAAGCCCAACAGCAAACTGTATATATATTTTTTTAAAGAAAGAAAAAATGCTATCCATTTCTGTAGTAAAAATACCTTTTAATGATGTATAATCCTGAAGTTAATCATATAAATGTTGGATATATTCAAACATTGCTATAGATGGCCATCAAAGACTAACGCAGATCTCTTAGGATAAAATCAGAAACTCTAAAGTACCTATTTAGTTACAGAAACAAGAGACAAAAAGACAGTAACAAAAATATCCATAAATATCTTCAAAATAAGAAAAAAAATCATAACTTCATAAAAATTTGAGCAAATATCAGCTGTCACAGGGAA